AGTTCTCTGCATAACAGGCTTCTGAGTTCTTTGTAGCTTACAGAATAAAGTCCAAACTCAGTTATAAAAGGCTCTTTGAGAATGATCTTTATCTACTTTTTGCAATCCTACTAGTAACTCCTTTTTACTTGCTATATCAATCAAGATACAGAAGGCAGACACTACACCAGTTATTTAATGAAGAAAATTTAAGATAAGAATTGTTGGGCATTCCCTGGCCGTCCAGTGGTAAGTACTCCTTGCTTTCACTGCCGAGGGCCCGGGTTCAATCCTGGTCGGGGAACTAGGATCCCACAAGCCGCGCAGTGTGGCAAAAAAAAAAAAAAAAAAAAAATTGTTAACTATGTATAAACTGGTGAACTAGGTAACTGAAAGGGTAAAGAGAGAACTTGAAGGCATCACAGACGTTGCAACTGTGGAAAGCAATTCTCACCACTCAGGCTAAGGGGACAAAGGGAAGGGGTTGGTGTAATTTAAAGTTATAAATGGGACTTCCCTGGTGGTCCAGTGGTTAAGACTCCATGCTCCCAGTGCAGGTGGCAGGGTTTGATCCCTGGTCAGGGAAGTCGATCCCGCATGACGCAACTAAGACCCGAGGCAGCTAAGTAAATATTTCGGAAAAAAAAAAACCCTCAGAAATGTAGAAGAGGGGCCCCATGTTGCTGAAACCGCAACTCCAAGGAGGGGGTTCTGCTCAACTGGTGTTAGTGTCTCTGAGCTTGGAGGGTGACCCGGTAGATGCTCTCACTGGTCCTCGCGTCTGAAAGGAGAGTGTGATGTGATGAGACCAGCTCTGTAAGTGTGGGGAAAACTGCAAACTGGATATAGCTGCTGCGGTATCACTTTGGAGGGAAATGCACGTGCCAGGGTGAAGAGGTGTTGCTGGGATGACATTCACAGGAAACTTTTTCCTGCTCCAGCCTAGCGGCACTGAAACAGCTGGCAAAGCAGAAATGTAGTTCTGCAGTGCATCACGAAGCAGAGCATAGACGCTTGGGTTTGGAGCTGAGAAACATTATGTTAACAACTGGTGCACTTGCTTTATGTTTTGTTTTGTTTTGTTTTGTTTTCTGGTTCCATCGTGCAGGATCTCAGTTCCCTGACCAGGGATCCAACCCATGCCCCCTGCAGTGGAACTGCGGAGTCTTAACCACTGGGCCACCAGGGAAGTCCCTGGTGCACTTGCTTCGTTACTGTCCCTTCTCTTTGCTTCACTCCTGTTTCAGGACATTTGCATGTGCTGTTTCCTCTTTCTCAAGTGCAGTTCTCTCTTCACTTTGCCTAGTTAACACCTACTTTTCCAATCGTATCTGGGTTACCGCTCCCTCAAAGAAGGCTTCTTTGACTTCCCTGATGAGGTCAAATTACACTATAATAGGCTCTGTTAGCTTTTATGTAGCCTTGTCACAGCTACAAGTTTACATTTTGTGTAATTTTGGGATTAATGCCCACTAGATTGTAAGGGCATTTATCTCAAGGGCAGGCACCATCCCTCACATCCCCCTTGATTTGTTTTTCTTAAACTTGTGTCCCTAACACAATACCTCTAACATGGTATCTGGCTCAAATATTTGTTGAATGAAATGAGAAGTGTAGTGTAAACATAAATAGCCCCCCGAGTTGCGGGGAGTCAATACCATGCCTGAATAGGGATTTTTCTGAATTATCTGCTTCCAGTAGTATCTCTGTTCTGGACGCAGCTCGTTAAGTCTTCCTCCTGCCTCTGACCCTCAGTCTCTCAGTTCCCATCCCCTGATACAACTGCTACTTGTGTTGTCATTCTGAGATGCTCCATGCGAACATGCAAGCAAAATATATATTCTCATAGACAGAAGTGCTTCATTCTATTTTTTAAAATTTTATTTACTTATTTTGGCTGGGTTGGGTCTTCGTTGCTGTGTGCAGCCTTTCTCTAGTTGTGGCGACTGGGGGCTACTCTTTGTTGCGGTGTGTGGGCTTCTCCTTGTGGTGGCTTCTCTTATTGTGGAGCACAGGCTATAGGCACGTGGGATTCAGTAGTTGTGGCACGCAGGCTTCAGTAGTTGTGTCATGCGGGCTCTAGAGCGCAAGCTCAGTAGTTGTGGCACACGGGCTTAGTTGCTCCACGGCATGTGGGATCTTCCTGGACCAGGGATCAAACCCATGTCCCCTGCATTGGCAGGATTCTTACCCACTGCGCCACTGGGGAAGTCCCAGAAGTGCTTCATTCTTTTGAATAACTGTTTCACTGTAGGAAAGTACCATAGTTTAGTTAATTAGCCTTTTCTTCAAAGACATTAAAGTTGTTTCCCATCTTTTCCTTCTACAAATGCTCCTGCAATGAATGACCTTGTGCATAACATTTGTGTGCATATGTGCAGTTATATTATAAATATCCCCTGAAACACCTTTTACTTTGGTTCAAGGTAAAGAGATTATGCAGAGATGGCAGCAAGGATCTGGCCTAGATGCTCAGAAAGTACCTCAAAAGGTGGGAGTTCCTAGGTTAGACCTCTGTCTTCAGAATCTAGGACTCATCTAGTCCCAGTGTACAACTAGAGTTTGGGGGCCACTTGGAAACTGGATTGCTCCAACCAAGCTCCAAAGACACTGATGCATTAACTATCAATACAATGTCTTAGTTTTTTTTGCTGTATTCGTCCTCTTTTTATAATGTGACAATTGCTTGTTTGCTGTCATCTACACTAGACCATAAACTAGGTTGGGGGAAAGTAGTGAACAAGACAGATGAAGGCCTTGGTCTCCCATGGTTCTTTTTTTTGGCCACGCCAAGCAGCATGCGGGGTCTTAGTTCCCCAACCAGGAATTGAACCTGTGCCCCTGCAGTGGAAGCGCAGAGTCTTAACCACTGGATTGCCAGGGAAGTCCCCGAGGCCTTGTTCTTATGGAACTATTTTTATTTTTTTTACCTTTATAGGTTTGTGTGTGTATGGATTAAACGAAATAATGGAGGTACAGTGATTAGCAAATTTGCAATTTAAAATGTTTGTTTACATGTATACATATATAATACATATTCATGTATATAAGCACAATATTGAAAGAGTCATAATTATTCTTTCCATGACTACATTTTTTTTCCTCTCCCCCAGCCCCACACTGTCTCTTGAAGAGCTCACACCTTAACCTCCAAGTTAACCAAACTAGTAGGTTTGCTTTGAGCTCAAGGCGATTGCGAAGCGCGGCCGGTAGGGGGCAAGAATCACCCAGGCGTGCCCATTACCTAAGCAAGGGATTTAAAGAGCATTCTCAGAATGACTTTACAAAAGGGTTACCGAGGAGTTAATTTGTTTATTCTGTGTCAGGTCACTTAGTAGCAATAATAATGATCATAATGGAGAATATGAAAATAAGGAAGTGAGAGGTAGTAGCGACAGATCTGCAGCAATCATTAATTGAGAGCAATACTTTGTTCAGGTTACCGGGTGTGTGTGAATAAAAAAGAAGTGGGGCTGATTACGCTCTCACTCCTTAGGATCTGAATATGGCAGTGGACCAGCCGAGGGGCTCCGAGTTACTTGCAGTTTCACATTGAATAAAGTGCTTTGAGCAAGTCTAACAAGCAATGAGTATGCGAATATTTTTTTCTAGAATTAACTAAGGTAACGAGCTTTTCAAAGTGCCAGAGACGCCACTAGGTAACTAACTTCCTGGCCCAAAGCCACACACCAAAAAGGTTTTGAAAACAGCTTCGGGCCCCTCCTAGCCTGACTTTGAAAGCAGGTGTGGGACGCATGCGCCCGGGCCACCGGTTGACCTCCTGGTGGCAACCCAGAACACGGACCTTCTTCCCGACAGCCCGCGAGGGAGAAAGGGAGGGGGAACGGAACTCTCGCGAGGTCTTTCGAGCGCCGGCGGAAGCAGTAGACACGTGACTCTCCTAGGCGGCCTTCGTCTTCCCCCCTCCCCCTTCCTCGGAAACCCGGCCCCCTCACCCCTCGCCCACCCCGGAGCCGCGGTAATGGACGGTTTGGGTTCCGGAATTCCCTTGGATCCAACCACTGATACCGGGTCGGAAGGAGCGACGCAGTCCGTGCTTAGCGGCGAAGGCAGGGGCGGTCAAGATGGGGGGGGGGAATCATCCTCCTTCACCTAGGAGGGAGGCGGGGCGGAGAGGGGCGCTGGGGAGTGGGGTGGGGGAGGGAGGAAGTCACGTGGGGCGTGCGCGCGGCGCCTCATCCGTCGCCCCACCCCCTCCCGGCGGGGCGGGG